ATAAATAACTGCATTTCCCTCTTCTAGCCACTGGGTGCTGCTACAGAGTTGAGCACAAGTAACTTTCTCAGGGATTTAACTTTTTATTTCTTTATTTTTTTGTGCGCGTGTGTTTGAAGCCCTACTGTTCAGATTTTACATCTTTGAAGGAATTTAAACTTGTCCCAAATAGTTACTTCCCACTGTTTTTATCTTTTTTAACCCTTACACTGTCTGCCACCTTTTTTTGTGGCATCAGCAAGAACCTCGAGTTTATTTCTGGACGTCGGCGCTTTGAAGGCGGAGTGAGACAGTAAACTAACCGAGCCACATCAGCACAGGTGTGTCGGATGAGAACCCGCAGGTAGGCTGAAACAAACGGAATGTATCCTCTGCTGCGCCTTCTATTCTTCGGACAGGAACAATAGGAGGAAACATTTTTGGTGAGTGAGTTGTGTGGTTTACATCGTCACCTCGTTTCTGCTGGACGGGTTTGAAGTTCTGTCAGTTTTGAGTTGTCMTGTGAGGAACCGGACCTTTGACAACAGAACTTGGTGGGTAAGAAGCTCGTGTAATTAGTGATGGAGTGGCGGGAGCAGACTTCTGTCAGCTGTGAAGAAGCTTACTCCGAGGCGCAGACATGGATTGAGGTGAGTCCAGATCTGTTACATGCTTTAACAACTTTCTCACTGCAGTTATGTAAAAGTTGTTTTACATTTTGACCTCGTCTCTCAGCTAACAGTGGCATCAATCTCCTCTTCTGAAAACTCTAATTAACTTGTCAGAGCCCTCTGTATCCTAAGAGTTCAGGTACATTCATGGCTTTAACCTCCATTCATCATCACYTGTCTGCTGCTTCTTTTAGATCTGTCAAAACTTGCTCATCAGTTTTTTTTCATGTTCCTGAGTCTTTAACCTCAAGGTAGAGAGAAGTGACACTTAAAGCAGTTAAAATGATAAGGTAAAATGGAGGGTTTATTACAAGCAAAGATCAAAGCAAACTCGTTAAGTGACTCATTTTTGAGGTTTCACTTCTGGTTTATTACTTATTGTCTTGTACTTTACGCACACTCGTTAAAGCAGATAAAGAATATAAAAGTAAAAAAGATTCAGTGATTTCTTGTGGGGAAAAAAGCAAAATGTAATATTGTCTTTTTCGTCAGTGTCAAACAAACAAGATATAAAAATATGTCTGAATATTTATATGATGTCCCATTATGCAACAAATTTCCACTCATTTTTATAGCCAAATCCCTGTTCTTTTCTTTTCTTTTTTAATTACTTGCCCTGTTTTGCCRCTCATCCTGCAAATTCTCCTCTCAGCATGGTGGCATGGAACGACTGCACGGTCATAACTAAACAAATATTGTTCCACTTTGCACGAGGGGTGAATCTGAATGCTTCGGATGTGACWTCAGCATCTCTCTCAGTCTCACACTGGCCCATTGTGGTGTGGACTGAGGTGGGGAGCCGAGGAACRCAGGGGCAGGAGGACTGAGCACAGAGGTGAAGGTAAAGGTTTGTTAAATTTGGAAAATGTGTGACACAAGAGGTYCGGGGTGGAGGATATCAAAACAACAAGCTGGCCCAAGCAGAACATTTTTTTTTCCCTCAAAGGGGAACGTTTTGGGTTTAATGGATTGTACTTTTGAATGATTAACAAGCTGCCTGGCTTTAAACTGAGGCATGTGTGTGTGCTGAGGTTGGTCRTGTTAAAAACTAGACTAAATGGTCTGAAGCCTGTCACATGGACACATTCCAGCATTAGCTGCCATGGCTGTGAACATGGCCCCCCTCAGTGGAGGTCGTCTGTCAGCAGGCTCCTCCAACCACCAGGCCTGATGGAATAATAGGAGCTCTTGTCAATTGAACAGAGGTTTCAGTGGCTGTTATGACAGTCCAGGACAAGCGGCTGTGTTTTTGCAGCCTAAAGGTCAAAAGCTCAAGTGTAAAGCTGTTTGTAAAGACAGTTACGGACAATTACATGCTGATGGGTTAGCTCTCTGTCAGGTTTACGCTTTTGTACTTTATACACTGTTTCATGTTTTCATTCATAAGAGTATGGATTACCAGTAGCTGTTACAGTAGAGCGGAAGARGAGCAGCACACAAAAGATTCAAAGCAAAAGGACCTTTTGTGAATATAACCAACCTGAAGGTAAACTAAATACTTAAGAAACCTTTCCTGCAAAAATGCCGTGTGAATGAAGAAACTAAAACTAACAAAAAACATAGTTGAAAAGTATCTGAAACGGCAGGAAAAAAAGAGTGTTTGCTGAAGTGGAAAATAGCTGAAATGAACATAAAAGGTGAAAAGCTCAAACAGCAGAAAAAAAGAGAAAAAAGCTAAAATTTGCAGAAAGCTGCTGAAATTACAAAAAGGTTGAAAAATGTATAAACTGAACAACAGGTGAAATGAGCAGATTGTAAACTGCATAAAGGATTTAGAAGGAAACTTCATTTTCAATAAGAAAAAAAGCCTCTGAAAAGGCTAATTATTTTAAAATAGAAGAATTGCACAAATACAAAAAGTCCAAGCAGGAATTTTCTGGATGTGTTGAACATGTTGATAAATGAGTTGTTGAGCAGAATGAGTTACGTGCTGAAAAGTGTACAGAAGACAAATGGATCTCAATGCATCATAAGCATTCATACTGTGGGGTTTGAACTTTTTCCTCATTCAGCTTGAAAAAGGTCAGGTGATGGAAAAACTCAAAAGCTTTTTAAAAAAATGCTTTTGAGTCATCAAACTAAGCTCCTCTGTTTAGGAAGCACTGGTGATTCAAATTCTCTGACAGGAAGAATACAACAATGGGGTAGCTGTTAAACGAGTTTTTAATGACTGCATCCAGACTGTAATGTGATTTATTTGATTATTTTTAAAGAAAACAACAGAGGTGAAATGTTCTACAAGACCAGGAAGTAAAGTCTTCTGAGAGAATCTGCTTGTTGGTTTGCTGGATGTCGACAATTTCCTKATTTTTGAAGGAAAATTCACTTTCAGATAAAACATAATGGCTGTGTGTTGAAAAGTTGAAGTGGGGTATAAGAAGTTGGRTTAAGTGTTTATTATCTTGCTGCTCTGGGTGTAGAGAAGACTCCTACAGCCGTGGGCTYCGGTCAGCGAGAACTGGAAGAAAACAACCAGTTTTTAATGCTAAGTTTCCAATGAAATCAAACAGGATATTGTTTATTTTTGTTTCCCTTTTCTCTTATCCCTTCAAATGGCACTCAGCAGGCCAGCTTTGTAARTAAGAATTTGTTCTTAATGTTCTGCCTGGTTAAATAAACAAAAATAAATAATTGAGGACTTTAGCTGAAGTTCATATTAACTTTGTTTTTGTTAATCAGGACGATGAACATACTCCCCTGGTTGTAATTTTTATCTTCTCACAATCTTCTGAAACATTGTTTCCTTGAAAATGCAGCTCAAAACACTTCCCGGAACATTCYGTGGATTGTTTTATTTGGAACGTTTTTTGTTGAGGTGGGGAGAAAAAAGTAATACGGGTATAACATTAATACTTTTTACATGAAAATATTTTACTAACTTTGTGGCAGTCCTGCAGCCAGCTCTCTTTTAAAACTTATGCTGCTGTTTTTTTTTTATTCTTTATTTTTCCAGAGGCTGAACTGGTCATTAGTCACCTCCTTTTAGATTTTTTTGCACTATTTTGACAGAAATCAACTACAACCAAGACCACAGGCATTCAGAATGTGAAACAGGCACTCACACAAGCTTTTCACTTCAAATGCACAAATCTGTTATTCCAGTATGTCTGTATTTTCCTTGAATCAGAACCCTGAAATATTTGGATAATGTTCCCCCCTCTGGTGACCCCCGTACCCCCTGTCTGCTGCAGTCAAAGACGAAGAGTTTCTGAAACAGTTGGTGCCTCGTTGGCTGAAACCTGCATGCAGATTAATCCAGTGGCCCTGCGTGAATAAACAATATGTTTGATCAAGATGCCATTAGTGGTTTCTTGGCAGTAGTAATTATTTTCGATCAAGTGTTAGAACTGTTTCATAACCCGTGATAAACTCTAAGAAACGCTTTCAGCACCCAAGTCGAGACATTCCTGAGGGGAGTGAAGGTGGAAGCTGTTTTKGACATTCTTGCTGCTGCATTTAATCTCACGGTTAAATCAGAGCCAGTTCCAGATCAGCCCCAACATGGAAGTTTAATAGAGAAGATGAAGCACGTTATTAGCTTTAATGATAGTGGAAGACAGTAATCTGTTGTATGTCTCGAGTTGTCCTTGTTTTGATAAAACGTGAGGAGGAATAACATCACAAGGACACCCTTTTCAAAAGCAGGATATAATCTGTAATCCTCGCTTCCACCTGTATTGTTTGTTTGGATGCACATGGATCCCAGCTGGTGCCCCAGCCTCTGTGGAACAGCAGGGGTCAGGATTTCATCCACCAAATGCATCACGAGTTGTTGTCTGTTCTTGTAAATGTGTTTACATGTGCAGCCAAGCGTGTGTGTGTGTGTGTGTGTGTCGTGTTTTGTGTGTTGCGTTTTTGTGGGGGTGTGTCTGGTTATAATCGTGTCTGAAGCTTGATGTCACTGTGCGAAGACTAGCAGCAGAAAAATAAGGTGAGAACTTTAATGCATGTATTGCTGCTCGGTCTAATTGTCTTGGAATGCTGGGTATTTGAGGTATTTCAGGACTTGGTCCTCTCGAGTTACCCTAGGTGTGTTCAGAGGTGTAGCCCTAATTATTTCTTCATAATAATAGTGACTTTTTTCAGTGTTTTCTCCTGTCCTTTCTCTCTAATGGTGCACCGTACTTTAATTTGTTTTTGGACAAAATTCTTATAAGAACATCTTATGAATTTGGTTGAGGTCCAACTTGTTTTGTCACTTTGAGCCCAAGTATGTTTGTATTCTGTGCCATTACTGTTTGTGYTTTGACTAAGAAGTCTGAGCTGTGAAATTCTCCTGTAATGCTTATCATTTTTTAGTTTTAAATGAGCAATACCCAGAGCAAGTTAAACTCTGCAATGTAAGCACACACTGTAAACAACTCCAATAAATTCATAAAGTTCATCTGCTAGCTTTTCTTTTGTCACTGTTTACTATTAATTTTTTTAAATGTGCAAAATTAGCAAGAGGAACTCACTTATGCTATAAATTATATTTATCAAACATTCTTCACAAAGTTTCTCATCCAAATGTTTATTTCTTTAAAACATGACAACAATGAAAATTAATTGACTTCTTATATAAGATTTTAAGTGCTTGTTTTTGCATTAATTCCAATGGTTTTCTAGCTGCAGGACGTATATGATTAAATAGCAAGTAACTGGAGGTAAAGTAGATCTAACATTTACCAAACTAAACTTTGTCTTATAGCACTTTTTTATATGTTATGTTCAAATTTGAGACCAAATTATGTGCAGGAGATCAATTCTATTCTCAGACTTGAATATTTGTTTACAGACATGCAAGGTWTACCACACATGACTCAGAGCGTAACGGTAAACAACTGCTGTTGAGCCAATGTAAAATTTTCCACGCCGTCTGCTACWATTTACATGAAAATATGTCGTCAACACACTAAAAAGAATACGCTGTGGGACCTGTGTATACAGTATATGTCTAAAAGAAATAATATATTTGTTTTAAATCCAGAATCAGTGTTAAAAAACAATCCTATGGTAAATCTAAAGCATTGTGCAAAACTGGAACATGTCCTCTTATCTGCGTTGAACGATATAGCTGCTTTGCTCAGTACCTGATGGAGAAACAATCTAACAAAGCTGAGCAGGAAGCTCARTGAAGGAGTGGTTATCAGTGTGAATTCATCTAATAACAAACTTAGTTTTAGAACACACAAAGAATATATGACGGTTTCATTTTTGGGGACAAGTCACCTCAAATCAAAGCTATAAAGGAAAACTAAAGATTAGTTTTGTGATTAAAATTTTGGGATGCTTTAATTCTGATACTCTGAGTTGGAGGAGTTGGAGGCTGCACGTCATGCATGCAGAGCGTGTTTGCTTACATAACAGCTCTCTGAGTTTCTGCTGTGGTGGTTTGAGATCATGGGAAAAGCATGAGGCTGTAACAGTGCTGTGTTCCAGATGCTCCTGCAGCCTTGTGGCTTGTGCAGTTTGACTCTAGGGGAGTGTTAAACACAGCCCTCCTATGTTACCAGCAGCTTTTAGCTCTAAAGTAAGAAAAYAAAAACAGCCCCACATGGCGGCTCCTCACGGATACCTGACGRCCTGTTTGCCCCCACAGAAACTGGGTAGGAACTCAGGAGGAAATACCTTGAACTTCCTCTGCTACTGTTCTCAACATCCTACCTTTATTCTTCAACCTTCCCACCCCTCATCACCGCCGGCCCCCACCTCCTGCCTCTCTGTCCTCACCCAACCCTGCATGCTTGCAGTTTTGCTCACTGTTTTTGTATTTCCTCTTTTTTTTTCCAGGCTGTAACCAAGAAAACATTTGGGAGCAAAGACTTCCGATCAGCGCTGGAAAATGGAGTTCTGCTGTGTGAGTAAGTACTCTGCCTTTTTTCCCATGCAGGCACCTCTTTTAGGCCACTCATTCATGAGGAATCCCTCTCTCTCCACGTCTGCACTCAAACCTAAGTGTTGCTAATATTTCCCAGGCAGACCCCCTGCCTGGTTTGTTTGTTAGCCACACAAATTGAGCCAGTGTTTCCAGACAGCACAATAGAGAACAGTACATTGTAGTTATTTGATGTTATCATGATCAGAGTTTCACTCATGCGCCTTGTTAAAGAGTTTTGATCTATTTCAGGATGTCTGTTGGACAGATGTTATAGATCTGTGGACTGGGGCAGAGTGCCATCCTTACTTTAATGAAAAGCTGTGAGAAAAACCTCCCGTTTCAACCGCAGTGAAGTCTCACAGCACATTTTCTCACAGAGCACCAAGAGTTTGGATGAAACAGACAATCTTTCTGTTTTTGCAACATTTACTCAAGTATTGATTCACAAATTGCTCATGTCTGAGTTGTAAAATTGTGTCTTCACTTGAGGGGTGGGGGCGTGTAAGGCATGAAGCAACTTAGCCYCAGATGGGACGCAGGGATGTGATTTGCACATATCAGCAGGAGGTCGTAATTAACCAGTAGAACCTTCCGAACATTTATTGGCATTTGTTCAATTAGAAGGCTCCCCGCTTTGCTGATCTGAGCCTGACTCCAGCGTTTGCTCGATTTTCAGAGAGCAGAAATCAGCGAGCTGCACCTTGTTTTCTCAGCATAAGGAAGAGGAAGACAGATTAAATCACTTTCACCTAGAAACTTTGCCTCCGTTCTCTATTGTGTTGCAACTATCACATCTTATTTGGAAAGGAATGTGTAGTGTCGCTCACACACGACTACATCTACTTGTGTGTGTGTGTTATCTTACGGTGCTTCATTGTTTCATTGTTAAATGAGTAGCATGAACCCCAGTACCCTTTAGCATTCTTTCTTTACATGTATTGTCCTTCACCTACAGTCTGCACCCTTAAGAAATTATTTCACGTTGAGCTTATTTCCTTTAAACCACAGGTGCTTTAGTTCAATGTTTTTGTCACATAACAGATTAGGAATAGATTTTTGTTTTACATGAAGCAAACAAACTTCTCTTACCAAATAATGCTGTGCTTCTGCAGTGCTGTTAATCTGGCATTTCTTTAAATAATTTTAATCCATTTGTTTTCCTATGATTAGTTTATTAAGCAATAAGTTGATCAGAAATAATCTGCAGTTATTTTTTATTGGTGAATCTTTTTTTTCTTAAAGAAAATGATTATGTTTTGACTGTTACAGCTTGACTAATAAATTAAAGCTACATTCACACCATCAGAATCATTTTTATTCTTTTCGCCCTTATTGAGATTTTATGACAGTCTGAACATGACAAATTTGATCTTTTTTTTCTAATCTGACCCAGGTTTTTTTCATACAGTCTCTCCCCCCCCCCCCAAAAGAATTAGAACTCAAGTCAAATTCTGTTGTTTTTGTTGTTCACTGAGGTTTAAGATCAAAAGATGAGCATGAGACAAGAGTTGAGAATGTCAGCCTTTAATTCCTGGTATTTACATGTAGATCTGTTAAACAACTTAGAATATATTACCGTTTGGATTTTGAGGTAAGCAAGACTAAAGGAACAAATAATCTTAAAGTAAGCAAACATTTAATATTTGGTGGTATAATCCATGCCTGCGACGCATCAACATCACCAAACTGTTGCATTCTTCATTTGTGATGCTGTTCCAGGCTTTCACTGCAGCTTCTTTCAGTTCTTGTTTTTTACGGTCAGGTGATTGGCCAATCTAAAATCTTCCAATTTTTCCTCCTGATGAAGTCCTTTGTTTTGTTGGCAGTGTGCTTTGGGTCAGTAGCTAAGTTTACATGGACATATGTAATCGAATTAAATGGCCATTCAGAATAAAAAGGCATCAGGTAAACACCCCATTCAGATTCTTCTGATCCAATTCATCCGAATGAATTTGTAATCTGAATGAGTTGGGTGGTTTATGTCGATTGATAATCCGAACAGCGTGCATGTAAACACTTAACCTGTTCATCATATTCTGATTGTGGAAAACTGACCTGACTGCGTATGTCTGCTGACTTTCATCCATCGATTTCTGCTCTTTTGTGGAGGGACAGCAGCACTGTAATATCCAGCAGCACAGAACTTTTTCTCCCGTTTTCTCAGTCAGTAAAGGACAATAAACAGCATTCTCTGCTTTGCAAAAAATATATACTGTATATACATATATCTATCCATGCATCACCTGCAGCTCAACAGTGCAATAATGTCTTCACCGTTATTAGAAACTGTCACATGTCCATCTGGGCACCCAGAAGATGTTTATGTTCTTTACAGAAGCAGAATTTCTTCTGTTTTTTTTTTAAAAGAAAATTCAGAAATCTGCGCATGTCAGTGCTTCTATTCAGAACAAAAGCCTGGTGCATGAAAACGCTTGTCCTGATCGAATTGTGCCCATGTAAACGATACATTCAGATTATGGGTGGCTGTGGTAGAGTGGTTAGGGGAGTCGTCCTGGAACCGGAAGGTCGCTGGTTCGATCCCCCGTCCAGCCGTTTCAGTCGTTGTGTACTTGGGCAAGACACTTCACCCACCTTGCCTGCTGATGGTGGTCAGAGGGCCCAGTGGCGCTGGTGCATGGCAGCCCCATGCCTGTCACTGTGCCCCAGGGCAGCTGTGGCTACAATGTAACTTACCACCACTTGATAAGGCACTATATAAGTTCAAGCCATTTAATATTTATTAAATCCAAATACATTTCAATCTGAGGTATTCCTCCGTAAATTGAGAGAAAATGTTTCTGTACATCTGTATACACTTAAATTCATTCTGGTGCTACCATCATCAGTTCCATCATCAATAAATATTAATGAGCCTGTTCAAGAAGCAGCCATGCATGCCCAAACCATGACATTACCTACACTATGCTTTACAGATTCCTTTCTTTCTCCATACTTTGGCTTTTCCATTACTTTGGTAGAGATTAATCTTGGTCTCATCAGTCCATAAGATTGTCTTCCAGAACTTTTGAAGCTCCTTTCTGTACTTCTTACAAATTTAAATCTGGTTTTCTGATTTTTACTGATGAGGGGATTTCATTTTTGTGTATGGCCTCTATATTTCTGCTCTCTGAGTCTTCGAACAGTGGATTGTGATACCTTCACCCCTGAACTGTGGAGGCTGTTGGTGATGTCTTTTGCTGATGTTTTGGGGTTTTCTTCACAGCTCTCACAATAAATCTTTCATCAACTACTGTTGTTTTCCTTGACCGACCTGTTCGTCGGTTGCTCAGTACACTAGTAGTTTCTTTCTTATTCTAGACATTCCAAATTGTTCTCAGCTTCAAAATGTCTTKCTTTTCTCCCATAGACAGCTCTCTGGTGTTCATGTTGGTTTATCCTCGTTAACAAGAAATACCTACTTTAAAGGTTTAAAGCCAGGTCAAAAAGTAGACTAGTCATGCAGAGCTATTTAATATTTGAACAATCAACCTTAAAGGCAACTCCTGGTTAATAAAAAAACACCTGTCAGTCACATGTTCTAATAGTTTTGCTCACTTGAAAAATAGATGGGTTCAGACAAAGGGTGGTGTGGTTTGCGTTGTTACCGGGATATAAAAGCTGACATTCTGAACTCTTGTCTGATTGCTCATCTTTTGATCTTAAACCCAAATATCTTCAGTGAACAACAAAAACAAGAGAATTTAACTTGCTGTTCCACTACTTTTGGAGGGGACTGTATGTGGTACTAAAATACATACACTATATTGCCAAAAGTMTTTGCTCACCCATCCAAAGGACTGCACCAGTGCACAAAGCAATGTCCATAAAGACATGGATGRCAGAGTCTGGTGTGGATGAACTTGACTGGTCTGCACAGAGTCCTGATCTCATCCTGATGGAACACCTTTAGGATGAGTTAAAGCAGAGACTGAGAGCCAGGCCTTCTGTCCAACATCAGTATGTGACCTCACAAATGTGCTTCTGGAAGAATGGTCAAAACCCCATAAACACACTCCTAAACGTTGTGGACAGCCTTCCCAGAAGAGCTGAAGCTGTTCTAGCTGCAAAGGGTGGACCAACGTCATATTGAACCCTGTGGATTAGGAATGGGATATCACTTAAGCTCATGTGTGAGTCAAGGCAGTTGAGCAAATACTTTTGGTATTTGGTAAAGTGTAGATTATGTTTTTCAAAGTGACTGCAGTCTGAACTGTCACCATCACATTTGATCCAACTTACTTCACTGAGGTCAGGGTATGCAGGTTGTTCCAAAAGATATTCAAAACCAACATAAAGAAGTTTGAAGGCTGGAACTCTGTACGTCTTCAGCTACAGAACAAGCCTAGTTGCTTTGTGTCTTGTCTTTTTTTTATTTTTATTTTTATTTTTTTTTCTGCATTTGTCACTTCCTGGACGACTAGGAATGGTGGTATACAAACAAATTGTACTGATGTTCATGTGATGGGGTGAATATTTGTGTTTGTTGTGTTCCTRTTCACTATATTGAGATATTTAGATGCTCCCATTCCAGAAGTGCAGTTCTGCACCTGAGTAGGCAGAAAGCAGCAGCAAATCAATTGTAAATATTGAGCAAAACAAGCATAGGAGATAATAATTTACTTGTCCTGACTGCACAACAACTTCACAATCAATACACACATGCTAACATGTAGCATCCATATATCCGTGTGACCTCGTGTGTTTCTGCACATCTCTTCTTGGAAAGTTCACACTGGAGCCTGATGGAGGATGGATTTAAACTATAATGTGAAGGGCCACATGAAACAAAATCAGATCTGAGCTAAAAAATCTGTATTCAGCATTAAGACTTGGAGTGTGAGCAAAGCATTAGTTGTCTTCTGTTTTGTTATCCTTATGGTTCTGAAATAAATTATTTATTTAAAATAAAAGCATAATTCATTAATGTGTATTGCCTACACTTTACATTCACTTTAGCTCTCAGTGTGTACATATTAGAAATAATGCTCTCTGCTACTACCACATTATATTTTAGCTCATTATCTTGTAAAACAGACTGGGTTGTAGCCATCTTTGTGTTTACTAAGATCAGTTAAATGATCAGTCTCATATTGATTGGTTCCAAAAGTTATTTAGTTGTCTRTCCAATGATTAATTGGAGAGTTTCATTACAATTTGTCTAAGTGTTTATCATATATTTTGCTAATAAACAGAGACACAGGCAGTTATGTAAACACTGGTCATTCATTAAAGTGGGCATTAACAACAGGTGTGCCTCAAATCAGTTCATTATAAATGTAAATAAAAAAAAATTAGTCAGCTGACTGTAGTGAAAAATACAAAAAGTTTTTACCAGAAAGTTTTGCGGAATACTTCAGGTACAAGCAAACATGCACTTAAATCCAACTAAAACAAAACTTTACAAATTAAAAATAAAAATAAGGCCTCTCATTCATAAAGAATAAATAAATTAGTAAATATAATACGATAAAGTAAATAAAATATTTTCATTTTAATTTCTCTCAATTTATGCACCTAAATATTTTCTGAACATCTTTTACCACAAACTGTTGCAGTTTTCTGAGTTTAAAAATTGCCATTCAGGTTAGTTTTAGGTTGAGGGCATGTTTTAGATGCAGAGAGCCCACTTTGTTTACATGGTGTTGCAGCACTGGTGATTTACTAAACTGAAGCCAGGTGGTCACCATTAAACCCAGCCTTAAACACAACACCAACCAGACTTGTTCATTCCTCGTGGCTAGACCAGCCGAGCCAAGGACTGAGAGCTTTCACTTGACTCTGATATTCTGTCTCTTCTCGTTTACAGTCTGATCAACAAGATCAAACCTGGTACCATAAAAAGGGTTAACAGACTCCCAACACCTATTGCTGGATTGGTAAGTCTGTTTTCATTCAGCTTTTTTAAGTATTTTCAAATATATCCTGAAACCTATTAGAAAAAAGCTAAATTGTCTTACATTATATCAGTTGGTGCTTCAACAAGCAGTATGAGGTGCAGCAGCAGCTGGTCTGACTGCTGACAGGTTTTAGATTTGGCTGCCAAAGAAAGGGAGACCTTTGCCTCAGCAATTTGTGGATACTTATATTCATCCATTTTAAGTTCAGTGAACAAGAAGCTTCTTTAATATCCTTTATCTTTTTTATGGCTGGGGTTGTTTTCAATCAAAATCGTGCAACACAATGAGTTTAAGTCTGACATGATAATTGGATTTTTTTTATGAAAAGATAGAATGTCAGACAGAATAGCATTTAGTTTCTGAATACCTGTTATTCTGAGTACCTGTAGTTGTTACCTTTCAGAGTTAGCAGTATCTGTATATTTGAGGTTTTGGGCCACCGTGGCCCTTTTTTGGAGATGTTTTGGGAGTGGCCACAAACAAGTCCTTGGGAAGTAGAGGTTTGAAAACCTACCTTAAACTCATCCCCTGTGAAGCTCTCTCTTGTGGGAGTAATTGAATCCAGCTGTCTGGAAGAATTCTAGACAACCCTAACCCAAGCAGTCTGAGAGTTTGTCACTTGGCGCTCTGGATCGCTCGACGTGTTCAGTACGAGACAGCAACAAGCCAACAACAAAATAAACAGACTGTAAACGGAAAACACTGACGTCATATCTTCATTACAAGACACATTTCCTGCACTCAAATAATGAGCCGAGCACCTGCTGAGGTGATAAATATCTCCTCCGTCCGTAGCACTTGTGTGGTACTTCCAAGACTTGGACACGAACTTGAAACCATTTGCTCATAAATTCTTCTGCAAATTTGAAGGCTTCTGGTCAGCCTGAGGCTATCAGTTACTGCCAACCAGAAGCAGGGAGGTGGAAAGTTCTTCCAACAACCATTACTCTTTCTTACTCTGCTGTGAGGACAACTCTCTTCTGTATGAAGGAAAACAACTCTCACTATCAAACCTAGCTCATATTTTTATAAAGAGTTATGAAAATCTTATTTATGACATCGGACCAGAGTAATACCTTTTAAATTATCTTTATGAACAATTAATATTGCCACACTTAAGGAGCAAAAGGCTAGTCAGAATGGGGCAAAAGCAAAACAAGTTAACATCCCATTAAACAACACTATTATTAAACTTTCATAGCAGTGCATGCAGATGCTGCTCTATAAATATTTTGTAGTCAGTGAATAATGTAGTTTTTATGTATTTTTTTTTGCAGTTTCAAGTAGCAGCAACTTTAAGTGAAGCCTGGAGCAATTTAGACCGGAATGTAATGATTTTTCTCCCAGAATAACCATATAATTCAAAAATTAACAATAATGTAAAGGTTTGTGAAATAGAATTTGCATTATCCTCTAAAATGTTTTGATGTTACATTTTAGGATGGCATCAGTTTACTCTGGTCTTGGCACCATTTGGACTAGCCATTGACTTTCCAAATTTGGTCAGAGTTGAACTCCATTTCTCCAAACTGAGGCTACTCGGAGACATCTGCATCTGAGATATTAACTGTTAACTTGAATTTGTATTTTCTGCAAAAAATGTTGCATTAATTCTTAATGCTGAAAGACTTTTGCAGAAAACATGTGCAAAAATGTTGCAATTGCTTGTGAATTGGTAGAAAAATTGAAATTAGGAGAAAAGTAGCTATAGAATAGTTGTGAAAGCAAAATCTAGCACAAATAATCAGAAAGAGCACGTTTCCTGAGTTAAGCAGCTGAAAAAAATTAGCTAAAATAACACAAAAAGATGAATTCATCAGAAAAAAAGACAAACTTGGCTGAAAACAGCTAAAAAGTACCTTAAATTGCAGAAAAACATTAAATGAAACACAAAAAATACATTTGCAGAAAGAAACTGATAGAAAAGCAAAAAAAATAAAATTATTGAAAAAGGCAGAAATATAGCTGAAACTGAGCAAAAACAGAAACTGAAGGAAGCTAAAAAGAGCACAAAGAATAAAAAAAAGCTGAACCAGAAGAAAAGGTGAAATGTTCAGAAATGGTTGAACTATTTTGAAGGATTTTAAAGATGTTTGAGACGGCTCCATTGATTTTTAATGATAACAAAATGGCCAAAAAGCCTAATTTGCAAAAATTATGAATTGCTATAGTACAAAACCCATAGCCAGAATGTCCTGAAGAAGCTGAATTTTTTTATATATAACTTGTTGAAATCACACAAGAACTGTGGAAAAATATGTGCCAAAAATAAAAAAAAATGTACAGAAGAAAAATGGACCCTCTCAATAAAATTCACACAATACCCTGTCTACTGAACCCCACTTCTAATGATCCAAACTATTGTTGAGCTCTGCCTTTTAATGTTAATATTGTTATGTTAGTATTTTAATCTATTAGTTTCTTCTCGCCAGGTACCATATTACGTGTGAGATCTCTCAGCAGTGAATGTTGTGGAACTAGAATAAACTGGAAAATGCTGTTCGTCTTCAAGTAAATCCAGTGAAGGAAGGGAAGTGCAGTGGGCCGAGAGCACCAGGAATGTTGTTGGTGTTTCGTCAGTTTTGAGTTCAGTAATCTCTGCTGAATAGAAGGCTCTTTGCAAACATGCCTCATTAACACTTTAAATGTAAACATTTTCTACCAGTACAGTGTTACTTTAGTTTTGTCATCTGAACAACTTTGAGCATTCTAAATTGATACCAGCTTCTGGCTCAGGCAGAATAAAAAACCTAATGGAGGAATGGGAATATTTAGCAACACTGGCTCTAGACTTGGTTTCGCATCCAAGGAAAAATTTTTTTTCTCATGTCAGCACACTCCTCTGCTTGCTGCCAAGCACTCTGTGAGCTGTGGGTTTGGACCAGTTTGAGCCCAATTCTGCTTTTAGCGGCAGTGGGCTGGTCCTCTGTTGGCCTCTGCCAATAAATTTACAGTAATTGGTGTGGCGTTTCATGTTCCTGCATACACCAACTCCTTTGTGAGTACGAGTACCAGAGGGAGGAGAAACAAAGACAGTTTGAATGCCCCTCAGAGTAGCCTTACTCATCTGGCTGTCTGTGTAGTCTAAGCACTGACAGGCATGTGACCACGTTTGTTACTGTTTGTGTTGTATGGGTGCATGTTATGACTGGATACGACTCTTGGAACAGTAAGGCCTCTTATTATTGGACCTCGTTAAGGAGAGGCACCGATTCAAGCATCCCACTTCCCTCTGGTTTATTGTCATGKGATTTGAAAATGTGTGGCCTGATATTTTAAACTCTGCCTTTCTTGCTGTGTTTGCCTTCTGGGTCATGCGAGGACATTTTCACAGCGTGCCCACCATAGACAAATAAAAAAAAAGGTTTTCTTTTCCTTAGTGTGAAGTGATTAAGTCAGATTCCTGAAGTCCTCATAGGATTAAATGCTAAATGGGTGCAGCATATTTAGCAAGATTACGTTGAAGCACAAGTTGGTGTAACATTCCTTCAACATTATCTCTGCATGCTCCATGACAAACTGCAAAAGAAGGTCTTTAATGCATTTTACACTTAATATCATTTAGATCTAAAGCTATTAATAATCTTTAAATGTTTCCTGAATGCTCAGCTCCATTCTGGGAGRTAAAAAAGGGGAAAAAGAAAGCCAGAAGGATACTTAGCAAAAAAAAAAGGGGTAAATTTTTGTTTAATAGATTGTTCCTTTGTTGTAACAATGCTTTTTAGCAATAAATCTTATAACAGGCACGGATTATCAGTACCTGGGGCTACCAGAAGTTAAAAAAAAGTGTCAGCAACAGCAAAATAAACTGTTTGGCAATGGCAGAGACTTTGGCAAATCTTTCCTGTGTGCAACCCACAGACTCATCTCTACTGCTCATCCCACAAATGCATGTTCCTTACAAATGTGGCAGCATTTGAAAAGGAAATAAACATGCTTTCCAGTGGGTTAAGATTTATTGCCAAGAAGCATTGTTACAACAAAGAAATAATTAACAGGTTATGCATTTTCCAGACACATTGTTCAATTCTAAACTACAATCAATTATGTTATCTTCAGTTATGAAATGCTATATATATGAAATAATAGACTTTGCATCATAGCCTGTCTAAACTCCTTGAAATTGGCCTCTTCTTTTTAAAAACATCCTACTGTTTCTGACACTCCCACTTCAGCATGTTATCCCAATGGTGTTTCATGCCATTTACACCATTTACAACTTTTCATAGGAGAAAAGAAAAGAGTTTGAACTGTGTCATCCTTAGGGATCATAAAAAGAGAGCAGTCTCCTTGGCATCCAAAAATATATTTCCTTGATGAAGGCGTTTTTTTGTCCAAAAAGGATTGGACTGAAAAGTATTTAGTATTACTAGCTCAACAGCAATTCCACTAGTTGTTTACTAATTGTTGCTGCTRTTAGAGGTGAAGCTGTCTGTGGGGTGGGGGCTCAGCTGGGGACTGAGCTCCAGGTAGGAGCTTTGGGTAAATGGGCGGCGCTTTGTATGAGCAAGCGCTTAGGCACCTCCAATTGGCTACCACTGGGGTTTAAATGATATTTAAAACATGCATGAACAAAGCAAAGCAACACTGGGTATGTTTTTGAAAAAAAAAAAGACAACTGGAATGGGGGATCAAACCGGCAACCCACTGGTTACAGGACGACTCACCTAACTACTCTGCTACAGCTGCGCAGAGAAACCAAACCAGAAATCTTCAGTTAGACTAAGTTCTGGCCTTTGTTACTTAAATAAAAAATTTTGGTTATATATACTATTTTTCAACTGAAAAACAATACATTTTAATTCAATTATCTGTACTTTTTCTTGCATTTAAAAAAATGTAAGAAACATAGTCATTAATCAAATTTTATTTTTGCTTGTTTTCATTCCGGTGTGTTATTGTTAAAAAAAACTACCCAGATATATTGTACGTCCCAGACAGATGAACACTTTGCAGAATCACAATAACACAGAAGAACTTCTTAAATCAGAACAGTTGTACAGATTGTAAATGTTGCCTAATGCCACATCTGATTTCCACATCCATGGTGTGATTTACTGTTTCTGATCATCTCCAAGTGATCATGACAGTAATACTGAACAATGAAACTGGGTGGAACTCAAGACCCACTCATTTCTGCACCACAATCATCTCGTCCTCAAGAAAGTAAAGCCTGTTTGCACAAGACCATAATGTTATCTTAAGAAAACAAAAGATTTATTTTTCCCTGATAACAAAGGTTACCAGATAAAAGATCGGATGATGAATGATATCTTGAAATAAGAAAATACTATAACAATGAACTTGTGATCTCAAGTTAAACCCATCAGAATGAATAATTACAGGCCTTTTCTGCTTCTGTAAGTCTGTGTTTTCTTATGTTGCGTTCAGATTTGAAATTTTATAAAGCATCAGCGGTGAGTTACTGTTACACAATATGATTGATAAAATGTTAAATCAACATGTTGCAGCTTATTTTGGTCTTGCTTTATTTAAAACAGCAACTTTACTAGAAATTCTGCAGCAAATTAAGATATTTTGGTGCAAAATAAATTAATTAACTTTTGGTGACCAGCCATTTGGTTTCTGCTTTATAATTTTATAACCATGGCTGTTTAAATTTCCTTCAAAACACATTTTCTTTTGGAAATTGTTGTCAGTAATGTCATTTTTAGGAAATGTTGTGAATGTTCTAATGATCGTAAGAGAATTTAGTTACCTAGATAAAAGTACTAATGTTGTTCAGTCAGTCAAGATGCTGAGGCATGATAAATGAAGCTAAATGTGCTTTTCAATTTTGCCTTGTGTACATGCTGTACTCACGAACAATGTGTGTCAATTAAATCTAGACGTGAAAACTGTTCAGAGGATAATGATTAATTGGGATGCCAGAAAAAAAAGTTCATTATTTGTACAGTTATCCAAACCACAGTGTAAAGTGTTATTACCTTCTCTACCATTAAGGGAACAAAACAGAAAATGATTTTATCATTGTCGTGATGCATTGGAAGTGAAATGGCAGCTTGCACAGAGAGGGGGGGACTGCAGAACTCCTCATTGATCTGTAGAGCCTTTTTAAAGTGTTGCTAAGCTAGATGCCCATATAGAGAGATCAGCTCTCTCCTTCTCTTTGCTAATAAGCATGTTTGCCATGTAAATATAGAACCAGCTACCCCTTAATTATTTCCGCCCAACTTGAAACCATGTGTGATCCATGCTGTCCCAATGAGAAGTCCATATTCCCTCTGGGTTTACAACTGGAAAAGTCATAACACTGAAGAGGAATGGTGCTTTTGTGGTTACCTTTTAATGCACAAAATCTGAGTACATTCATAGAGGATGTGCTCAGAGTTGTGCTCTCATTTCTGGACAAATATGAGCTTTATGTAAAGCACAATGACYGACAAGGTTTAATATGAGAAACTGTCCTTCTGGGATATTCTGTGTTGTCTTAAACAGCTTCAGGGAAATATTTTTCCATCTCTGTCACCAGACCTCGTGTTTCATAGCAACTGTCCAAAATACTCCCCAACCCATTCAGATTCCACAGGTATTCTCGAGTGAAGGGCTTGGCAGGGAGGGGAGGGGACGGTTTCAGGGTGTGAGAAGCCAGCGGAGGTGGCAGGCAGCGCGCTACCCTGTGCGTCACTCCTGCGCTCGCACTGCCGGTTGAGGTGGGACCGGCACGAAGCTCTGATGTCATGCTTCCTGTTTTGTTTTTTTTTCTCCCCAGCCCAACCCACAGGTGGCTTTTGCATCTGTCACTCAGCTCCTGTCAGACAACCCCCCCTCCCCCCCCCCTTTCATGTGTCACTTCTTATTTGCTCCACACACGCTCCTCCCTGTCCGCTCCTGTTCCCTGGTGGCATGAACTTTGGAAGCAATCAGTTGTAAGCGTCTCCCTGTCAGAGAGCTCTTGAGTGAATATTCTTTTTCAGACCCTCGTCCCCTTGCTTTCTTCTTTATCCAGGACAACCTTAACGTCTTCCTCAAGGCCTGCGGGAAGCTCGGACTAAAAGAGGCACAACTCTTTCACCCCGGAGATCTTCAAGACCTGTCCACAAGAGTTACAGTCAAGTGAGTTTTTTTTTTTTACATCGTGATTGTTGTAAAATGTCAGTCCTCTAACTTTAACAGCCTTCATCATCATTAACAGACATGTGATCTGCTTTAACGCTTTTACATCAACATGTTTTTCCAACTCTTAATTGGTCTGTGTCTTCATAAATGTGGGAAATGAAAAGCATTTTCCATGCTGTATAGTGTCGTGGAGCATGTGAGGCATGATTCAAGCTGCATTTAAAGACAAGGTCAGGGCTATTTTCAGCATGCATGTTGGTATACATCTGCTGAAGCTGAACACCGTGTTTCCCTAAAATGTAGCTCAGGGAATAATGAGGAAGAACATACAAGGAGGTACTAAAGGGGAAAGAAACACACATACAAGTGTTTGTGTGTGTATTTTGCAGACTTTGAGGTTTTGCAGACTGTAAAATAGTTTGATTAGACAGAATGCCAGCATGAATACAGGATACTCCCATTGTGCTCTGTTCACCTTAGTGTTTTTGTTTCTGTTGCATACCAGTCACTAAGGCATGCTGAACAACCTGTTCAGGTTTTACACCAGTTTACATTCAGTTTACATTCAGGAAGGGCTCGGAGCTCAGCAGATAGCCCAGCTTTTTAAACATGTCTTGTGTTGTTGTGCCRGCATGAAATAGGCTTTAGCAGCATTCTGTGTTGTGTGTCAGGTTTATAAGATGAATTTGTTGAGGTGACAGAACGTTTCCAATCCTGCATACCAAAAATGCTTTTGTGCTTTCTTGTCGAACTTGTGCCAGCTAATCTGGTCTGTGCAGTCTAAACCAACTTTAGGTATTTCTGTTATGGTGATACMCCCAAAGCCGACTCTGATAATAGTCAAAACCAGATTTGTCACAAAGGTGCTCGTGGGTTTAGATGCACTGTTCGTGAGCTGAAATATGGCCTTTAAATAAACAAATCTAGTTTTATCAGGACACACCCTCTGCCCACTGCAGATGATAGTCCACCTTCAGATATCTCTCAGTAAATGTCTCATTCAGCGTCATAAATATAAAGATAACCCTCCGATGGACTCTATACTGAGTATTGAAAGACATTTCCTCTTGCATAACCTGTTCCCAGGATATTGGTTGTAAAGTACTTTCAGTATGGCTGTCACCAAAATGGAAAACTGTCATCCAACCGAACATACAGTAGTAATAATACTGGCTGAACCAGTAACAAAATGCAAACACATTTTTTTCATATGCTGCAGGACTTCCTTCCATGTTCATCTGTATTCATGGTTTGGACGGTGAGAGCCCTGTTCAGCTTATTTATAGCAACTGGGATCACTTTGACAAGCAGGACTGATTGGAATGGTATCAGGACTTGTGTTAGGGGAGCTTTTAATAGTTTGTGGTCTCTCGTCAGGACATTCTCTCCTCTTCCTTTTAGAGTACACATGTATTTGTTTGTATGTGACATTTAAAGCTGGGTTAGGGTCAGTAAACACCTGTAGCTGCTTGTGTTGTATTTATCCTTGATAATATCAGAGTCACTCTTTGTTTTCACTTGTTCAAGTGTTTACCTAGAACTGACAAGTTTTAAAGGCACGCTAAAACTTACATGGGTAGAAAATCCAGAACAAGCCTGAAGAAATGCAGCTTTATTACAGTGTAGCTTATCATATTCTAGGCAAATTGACCCTGAAAGAGCGAAAGTTGTCTCTATCAGCCGTCCTCCTTCCTGGTGTTTATCCACCCTCCACTCCCTTAAAACCTAGTCTGACAGGTGCTTCGCTCTGCTCCACTGTTCTTTGTTTCAACAGCAGTGTGGCTGTTTTTGTGTCTGCTTTACATTGCTTTGTGTAAAGTTAAAAGCAGCTGTCTGCCTTTGATCTGTTTGTCCTCAGCTGTTTTTTTTTCTTTGTTGTATACAGTATCATTGACTTGTCTGAGCTCAGTGATTTTCCAAATATTTATTTTTTAGCTGCATTTGCCTATAAAAGTGAAACGTCATGAATGGTTGACTAGTTGATGTGTAAATAAAGCTGATCTGATGTTTTGTTTTTTTATCAGTTTGTTTGGTCCCTTAGCACAGTGGTTCCCAACCTTTTTAGACTTGTGTACCCCATGAGCCATTTTGTCATACCACTAGTACCCCTTCAATCAAACGTAATGATGATTCTCCAAAACTACAATGTACAAATTATGTATTTAACTGCCTAGAATGTTTAATTCTCAGGCATTTTATTTTTTTTTCAACTCAAATTAAACAAAGATAATTTGCCTTGAAAGTGAATAAGTAATTACATAAATAAACCAGGTAATGGCAGGTGCAGAAAACAGCAGCGTCCAAAATATTTTGTATTCTCCAAAATATGTAAGAAACTCATCCAAAAGAGCAAATTCTGTGAGATTCCACGTTTTATATTTGATTCTATTTTGTGTCAGTTCTGTGATTCTGTCTGAAATTTCTGCATTGTGGAAATCATAGGGCCCAACAAATCTGTCCTATTTTTATTTATTTTTTACACACCTGGTAAAATTTTCCACATACCCCCTCTAAAATGCTCGCGTACCCCAAGGGGTACACGTACCCCTGGTTGGGAATCATTGCCTTAACAGAAAAACAGTCTGCAGATGCTTTTATCTTTGAGTCATTCATTGGTGAAAAAGGTGAGTTTTTATTGGTTTCCATTGTTTCAGTTGTTATTCACTGAACTATTAACTAAAACAAACAAAAACTATATTGACCAAACTACTGCTACTTATTTTTAGTAATGAACAAGCTTCAAACAAGTTACCACATCCTTATTTTTAAAGAAAATGATTCAGGGGAGTTTTAGGGAAGTCTTGTCCTTATTGTTTTGAATTCCCTGGTCTTGTTTACYTAAAGACAAAACCAGAGTTTTGTAATATGAATCTATTGTCAGGTACTGAGTGAAACGTGCTGAAACAAGCCACAGTTTAATTCATCTTATGACGGCCATAAACACTTAATGAGTGTCTGCTTCTGACCTTTGAGCTGAGAATATGTGTTGTCGTTTTGGTCTTTAGCCATCATTTGCCATGCTGTATTTCCTGGTGTTGAGTAACTTTCGCTCTTTATCTTTATCCTTTTTATTAATCTCAAACCTATTCAGTACCAAACTCTACTAAAGCACAATGAGCTCTTTTGATAGAGCAATAGACCGATAAGAAGTCAGCAGTGTGGTTGATGAGTTTAGCATCAACCTCTGGGTGGAAAAATAATCATTAGCAGACAAAGTTTATGACCTTTTTTTTTTTTTATAAAATAAAACAAAGCATCCTGACCAGGCTGGATTCATCCTTGGAAACTATGATTCACAGCAACCCTGACAGTTTTTAACAGCTGCCTATGCAAATGAGACTCATTTGGAATGAGTCATTTCATTAAAAGCACTTTTAATCAACCTCCTCCTTGGTGCATGTTAAGAATTCAGCTTTTGGAACTGCAAGTAAAACTGGATCAAAACTACGCTGGCATAAAGAACAAACAAACTACCTCAAAGCTGATTGTTTCAGAGTTAATCTTAAAGTTTACTGTAGCTCAAAAGCACTGAGCATTTACAGTATATTGTAGCTGCTGTGGAATTCTCTTACTCGGCAAATTTTGATGTTTCAACCACAATAACTTCAGTCTTATTGCCCTGCAGTGTGCTGAAAGAAATGTACAGTTTGCCTGATGAGGCATTGAGGAGCACTGTTGTTTTTAGAAACTGAGTTTGGAGTGATGCTGGGATATTGTTAAAGATATCTAATGAATGAGCAAACGGCTCACATTAGCTTTACAATTATTTTATAGCAAGCTTAAACTGAGTCAGCAGCTTTAAAAAAAAACAAACGTTTTTGATTACTTGGTACAGAACAGTAAAAAGACACTGACATTTAAATAATTGGTTTCTTACTGCAACTTTTAAATTTATATATAAAMTGAGCCAAGAGAAAATGTGAAAGGAAAYGAAAGTAACTCCACGAGTGATAAAACCGCTTATAATTCTAAAAAAGAAGAAAGGCTTTAAAAGAAATGGTCTACATCATCATTTTTTAAAATTATTATTATAGTTATTTTTATTATGCCCATTGAAAGACAGACGTATTGTATACTCTCTGTCCGTCCGTTTCTCAATCACCTCAGCTGAAAGGTCAAAGTGGAAACAGGGTCACTGTTAGTCTAGAAGCATTTGGAAGGATTTGGACCTTCTGATCCACTCAACATAGTTTGTTATAACTTGAGACACATGCTGTATTTAGCAGTGGTGAGAAATGAATGAAAACATGATATGTCCCAAWCAAACGCTGTAATCATTCATTATGGCTTTAGTCATACAAATGTTCAGGGGTGATTTGCAGTGGTCTTGCATGAATCACAGGTATCACATTAGGGATATCTTGTGTTGGGAATGTGCAGAGGTGTACTTGGGGGGGAAAAAAAGTAAAAGTGAAAATACAGTACCTTAACAGAAAATGACTTGTAAAATTTATTTCACTGATAAGAAAAGTGCTYAAATAAGTCATAAAAAAAGCTCACACAATAATTGGGGACGTAAAAGTACTATTACATTACACTTTAAGAAATTAAGTGTTGGATTTACTTAACCAAACTGGTTCCAACAGAGTTGAGTAAATTGAGCAAATTTCTTTACAAAAAAAAGTTAACATGTAATATAAACACATACATGCATACATACATTAGGTTTAGTGAAACATAACTTGGTTATATAAATTCAACACTTCATTTTTTAGAATGCATAAACCACTCCTTTCATACTGAGGTTGGACATATTTAAAATTGTAACGTGTAGCAAGGTGTTATATTTTTTAAGTAAAGAAGTAAAAGCATTTTTTTACGTTCAAATGTAACAAAATGAAAGTGAATGTTGAGTTTTAAAAAAATGTGCTAAATGTTGCCTGGGTTGGGAGGAGGTCCTGCCCCAAGTGGTGGAGTTAAGGATCTCAGGGTCTTGTTCATGAATCAGGGAAGAATGGAGCAGGAGATCGACAGGTGGACTGGTGCTGCGTCTGCAG